TGTCAGATTTTTCAACCTGGGTAGTTTTTAAATGAATGTCATAGTTCCTCTTGGAAACATCAAGAAAAGTGATTTCTTAATGTCGAATTGAAACTTTGCACAGACAGTTATTAACGAGAATAGTTTTGGATCATGTCGTTATTCCTACCTAAAGATACAGTTATGATAAACTATGTCTTTTACATTGTTCATATTCCCACAGCAATTAATCAGTTGGAGAACTTCCATCGTAAGTACGATTCTCGATTGAGAGGAAGACTGGTCACTTCTAAATGCTCGACTTTGTGCGACAGAAAGTGAAATAAAAATCAGCAGATAATGTTGTTACGAAGGAAATCAGATTGAAGCAATTTGTTTGCTGTGAGAAGAAGCATTCTAAGAGACACATCAAAGACAAAATATGATCTAATATGATCGTTAAATCTTATAACAAACAGTTCTCATGGATATTTTATTATTATACTATTAGTTAAAGAATGATCAAGTATCAGAGAAATGTAGTATATTGTTTTTACTATTAGGTCATTTATAAAGAGAAAGTTTCTTTATGTGTTTTTTTTTTATATCTAACCTTCATTACTAAACCATGTAATAGTAATTTTCTTTGTATATTATATTTATTTATAGAATTAAATTTCACTAATTCATCTAATACATAACCATCAGAAGAATTTTCCTCACTACCAAATATTAAATGTTGTTGTAACCATTCTAAACGTGAACTACTTTCTTGATCACTTATTTGTTGATTAATTCTTTCATTTAATTGACGTGCACAATCAAGTGCTTGTTTTAATGGTTCATAATCTGGATGATTTATTAATGTATGTTTAAGAACTTTTTCAATTAATAATGGATAACGTGTAACACGTTGAATTGGTTTTGTTAAAAAACCATTTAATGATAAACCACCGGTTTTATCTTGAAAAATTTTTACATGTGAACGAAAATGTTCATTGGAATCGATTTTTATTTGTAAAGATTTATTTGCTTGAGAATGAGAATTACAATATTGAAAATAATCATTTGCCATATTTGGTAAATGAGAACAAAGTATTTCACCTATTTTTGTTGATTCTGTTATTGTCATTGATCCTGGTGATAATAGAGGAGGTGGAGAAACAATATTATCATTCATATATTCAATATTTGGTTTAGTTGCTATAGTACTAATTGATGGTGAACGGTGATGAGTTCCACTACGATTTTTTAACCGACGAATAGGTGGAGAATTAGAAGCATCAGGAGTAAATGAACGATGACGATTATCGATAACACTTTTCGAAGGTAACTAAAAATTAGAGAAAAAAAAGAAATTGTTTTCTTTCATCAGAAATCAGAGTACATGTTTTCAAATATCTATTCGAACGAATACATAGTATATTCAATCTTTCGGAAAATAATAATTAAGTGAAACACTTTAAAGTGCTAATTTTTTTTCAGGTATCATTGAATTTGAAAAACAAAACTATTTTCTGTTAGGTTTTTATGAATATAGCGTGACTTGCAATAATAATTTAACTGTTTGAAATCAATTAGCATACGACTAGATTCATTTGAATAATCACAATCTGATATAATTTATTTATATATTGGCCACATAACGAAGACGATCTTGCTAAAACTTTCGTATCTTACGAATGAATATCGCCAACTATTGTAAATCATTTATCTTGATATTGTGGCTACAGAGACGCCTCTTTGAGCATTAGCAAATTTATCAAAGAATTCAAATCTATAGCTTTCTATAAACGACTTAATTACAAGATTTTCTAAGAGCTATTACGTTGATCTATCTATAGGAAAAAAGGCAAGTCAATATGCTGTATTTTCAATGTATTTTCGAAAATGGTTTACTTAGAGTAGACAGAAACACCAGTAAAACACTCATGACTCTTTATTAGTAATACATAGATCTGAATACTTGGAATCTTTTCTTGAACTCATGGAGACCTATTCATAACCATATGTCTATGATCATTGCTTGAACAACAATTAGTCGTAATGCTGAATAATAACATCGGCAAAAAAAAAGATTTCTTAGCTTTATGAAGAAATAACTTAGAAAGGTCTAGAAAATAAATAATAATCTATTCAAAGACAAGAAACATTAGATTTAAATTTCCCATAATACTCTGTAATATTTCCTTATTTTGAAACTTTTGTCCATATATCTGCAAATTGATATTTGTGGAATGTGAATTAGAAACTACGCTTTTATTTGATATGCAATCAACTTTCGCTATCCCTATAACCATAACATAACGACGGTAAGTTGTCGATGGGAGAATAGCTATCGGTATACTACGGTAGAATAGCCTTCAAAAGACAGTCAACTGTTTTAGTGGTGAATACTACCGGTATAGTGCATATTATAAGGAGCAGGCTATTGATGGTTTTAATGCAGCTCGAATTCCATGGGAAGTTTTCTTGTTGGACTATAATACGTAGTTTCACTATGTCTTCCATTTTAATTCCACAGAGATTAAATTTAATCGAAATAATTTTATATATATATGTACTAACCTGAGCAGCTAATGCAATATTTGATAGAGATGCTGATCGAGGTGCTAGCATAATCATTCCATTTTCTATTGAAGGCATATCTTCTTTATAATCTACTTGTTCGTGTAATTCTTTTAGAAGACTACTATTAAGAGTAATTAAACTATACCAATTAACAAATAGCTGTTCAGTTTCATAATCATTTAAAACTCGAACATTATGTAATGGTTCAATAAATTGATTAGTAACAATTAATAAATCATCAATATAACGTTGTTCAGTTTCAATTAATTCCCGAATAGCAGATGTTCTTAATGGGTTATTTAGTAAATTTTTTGATGATGTATCACTATCATTTGATATTGTTTTTATTGTCGAATCATTAGTAACTAGATGTTGAGATGAATTAGTTGTAGTAGGTGTAGATGGAAGAAGACGAGATTGTGTAGATGAAGCTGGAAAAAAATTTATTAAACATTAAGATCTTTTTCTTGTTCATTGAATGGGAGTGAAACGGAACAATTTTCAAAGAAAATAATCAGCCATGCTTATCAACATGCACTAGAATTTCGTCAAGTTTTTGATAGGACAAAAAAAAAAGAACAAAGAGTAGTAAATAAACACACGCGCATTTATTAGTCGTTGAATAACTTTTTTTTTTCTTCTTCATGCAGCCATTATTATGATCATTGCGAATTGTCGTTTAGTTCTGGTCAGTATTTTGTGTTGTTTTCTTTTGGTCGTTAATTCTAAACTTACGATAAGACATAATGAAAGATGTTTTCTGTTTATAATGTGCATGGCGTTTGCGTTTGGCTGGTGCTGTAGCTAATGTTAGTATTGGAAAGCAACAGCAAATAGTAGTGAACACTTTTTCGAACATTTTCTTCTTTCTACTCATACAATATACAAATTAAAAGAATATTTTTTTTTTGTCAAGTTTCAACCAAGCACATATCATTATATATATGTATATGTATAATTATATTTCGTATCCTTTTGCATATATGAGATAGCGATATAGAAAAAGGTAGAGAGATACGGCTATACAGAAGAATAAAAAACAGTCAAATCACCTTAATGTGTAATTATAGAAAAATAGTGATTGATGATTAGATTGATAACAACATATAGTTTAATTCATCAATATCACCAGGATTCACAAATTAAAGACAAAGATAGAACCAAAGAAAAAAAAAAAAAGAAAGAAAAGAAACAATAAGCATATACACATACATGTTTATTGCATAGAACATACGTTATAAACTTCTTGTTTTTTTTTTTGAATATTTTATCGTAGAAAAGAATCGAGCACGATAGATACACACATAGATTGATAAGAATGAAGTAAGAACAATAACTGTCACTTAGATAAAACAAACACAAAACAAGTAGAAGAAAATAAGTATTATAGTGCGAATGTATGTGGATTATTATTTTTCAAAGTGCTCGCATATATACTCGATCAAAGATAATAACAATTTGAAACATTATATAAAAAAAATAGGGTTATAGGGAATTTTAAATAAATAATAATCGTCTGTGCTCGCTTATATATATATATACATATGCATTTGAACACCAGTATCATCTTCCTGATTTTGGCATGCGCGAGATCATGTTTTGAAATGACGATTATCATTGTCCTAGAATAGGGACAAAAATGAATTAACCAAAAAAAGAAAGAAAAAAAAATATATATTTAGTGAAAAACAAAATAAAGAAAAAGCTTTTGTTTGGCTTTTTTTTTCATTTTGTCTGTAATTTCTCTTTTTGTTAGTCTATCTAAGAAAAGCTATAAAATCCACATACATCGCTTTCCGCGCACCCTTAATCTATGTATATATATATTAGTTTACTATGAATATTATGTTCGTTTTGGTTTCTATTTTATTTGTTTCTTATATTATTAGTGCCCCAAGCAGACTATTATTATAATCATTTATTGTACACTTACATGCAGTATGTTCATCGATTGATTTGACATACGTCGATGGAATCAAACCAATTTGATTACCATATTGAGCTTTAAACCAACCGCTAGAACCTGTTTGATCTAATATTTCTAAAATTGCATCAGCTGGAAAACTTAATTCATCATCTTGTTGAGCATCATATGCAAAAAGAGCAATATATCGAGGCAATTCTAAATTAGAAAATTTAGTATATTAGTTATTAGTATTTGTATAAAGTAATTATTTATCAATTTACATATGGGCAAAATAATGTTAAAATGATATCGACTTTCATTTCATGTTATTTAGTTTCGAAATTGAGATAAAACTAAATTCTATACAGTTAGCGATATGAACGAGTACGAAAACATACTCTTATAACCAAATCAGAAGTTCAAAAACTTAATTCCTAACTGTAAAAATCCTTCTTCGAAATCTTTTGAGAACTAGGTTTTTGGGGTTTGATCTTACTGAAAATTTCACCATACAGTTCGTGACGTAGAATCTACCCGGGATTTTTCTCGTTTTAGTTAGAGAGACTTTTGCTTATTACTTTTTAATTAACAGCCAGCTGAAAACAATCACCGTTTTTACATATGTCTATGCTAAAAGTATTTATGGAGAAAAGCAAGCCGTGCAAAGAATCAAAACCAAAGGAAAAATTACAAATACAGATGAATATTCTAGCGCCTCTGACGATATTCAAAATTTTCAATAAGCTACAAATAAATTGTTTTGTTAATTTAATTTTCAACATTACGAAAGTAATAGAAGCATTATTATACAGTGTACATCAAAACTGAGGAAAAAGGATTACGAAGAAAATCTTCCAAATAATCCATGTTGTTTTAAATGATATTTTATTCATATGTTGGGGTCATTATTCTATGAAAAATCCAAAGAAGATTTGAGTTGTTGAAACTTCCTTTGACAGTTATTGAAACTGTGTTATTTGATTTTTCTGTATATATCTTGTGTTAGGTGAAAAAAATCAATAAAATGATTATAACTTTTCAAAGAAGATCCATAAGTTCAAATCCTCTTAGAATTTTTCTTACGAGATAATGTTTTCGACTGATTAGTCGCTTGATGGTTATAGGCATTTTACTAGAATTTAATACTCTTGCATGATGTATACCAACAAATCGAATGATGATATTTCAACTTGTGATTTTGCTCATAGTCAGATCTATTTATCAGTAGAATGCTCTGAAAATTCTAGCAAAAAAGAATGCTTTCTGTTTTACATATTAAAGTCCCGAACGAAGAAAATTCTATTATCTTTCATGGAATACGAGTGTTTTTTAGATTTAAATATCTTGGAAAGGAAACATTCTTTTGAGCTGAAATTCTCAGAATATTCTAATAACAAATAGATCTGTTCATGGGCAAAATCTCAATTCGGAATATCATCATTCAGTTTGTTGATATAAATTGTCTCAGAGACGAATTTTAGTAAAATGCTTATAGCTCTGTTCAGAAGATGATCAGTTGTAAAAGTTTCTTCGTTGAAATAATATATCGAACATATGACCAAAATATCATTGAAAACTGTGTAGAACAGTTGACGACCTTTACTTGTTACAGCTATTTGCAGTATTCTATAAACTATCTCGTTTTTTTATTTGATACCTGATGCATTGAGGTACAAAGCAGTCGGTGGTGCAGGTGTAGAAAGTGTTTGCATTTGTACACAATTCGCCGGAAACCATCCAACACGTATAGGTTGATCAGAAGACTTCATATGAAACAGAAAATTTTTAGTAGAACAAAAAAAAAAAGAAAACAAAAATCTATATGACATACTCGAATTTCTCCTTGATACCATCCTTTATCACCTTTTTTTCTTATATAAATCAATTGACCTACATCAAATGATAAACGACCTTCATCTTTCGTTTGAAAAGGTGCTATTGCAATAGCTGTTTCTAGTAGTGGCTTTATAAAAAAAAAGAAAGAAAAAAAAAATAATAAAATGAAATAGTTTGTTTTGTCTTTTTTTTCTCTGTAAATTTACAGTTTCAACTTTTTGAACATAATTATTTGGAAATGTTCCAATACGATCACCAATTTTTCCTGTCCACCAATCACCTTCACGTTTTAATACAATAATACGGTCACGAGCATTAAATGATAGATCACCTGGATCAGTTGCTTCATATGGATAAATAGCTTCATAAACATCAGCTAAATAAAAATTATTTTTTTATGGAATAGAAAAAAATCCAACGAAAAGAAAATGATAATAGATGACGAAACAATACATGCAAATTATTTTTTTTTATTTTACGAGCCACTTGTTTTTCAAGACAGACAAAAAAGCAAATGTAAGGAGCTATTAAAATTAGAATTATATAAAGTATGAGAACGTTTTTGTTTTGTTTTTTTGTATTCAAAACAATGCGCAGACAAAAAGCAGCAGAACTCATTGTTGTTTTTTTTGTTGCTTTAGGAAAAAAAAAACAAAACAAGAAAACAATAGAAATTTGTCTTTTCTTTTTCCCGTCACCAATGATAAAGAGAAAGAGGCGAGAAATATTTCATTGAACTAAATCATAGCATTTGACGAAATTAGTTTTACACTTACGTATTGATGGTAAAGTTGGTGCCTGACGCCAAGCTAAAGTGTAACTAGAATTTGTTTTTCTCTGTCTCACTCAATTCTTTTTTTGTATTTTACTCATTCAGAGAATTAAATATTTTAATCTGATAATCATAATAAAAGAAATAAAACAAAAACAATTCTTACCAAAATTAGTATCACTGGATGATGCACTATTAGGTGACATTGGAGAATTCAATGGTTTTTCACTTATTGGAGTAGTCCTAAAAAAAAGATTTTGTGAAAATTAAAACTAATGTCAGCTTCATCAATGTAGACAGTTTCAATTGAAACATCGTAAATACTACAGAGAAATACTATCATACCGAAAGAACAGTATTTATAGACGGCTAGTTCTATTTCATAATTATACTAGTGAATTGAAAACTTGAGTGATGTAATCACTCAATACTAGGATTATTCGGAAGAATAACCCTGGTTTTTCGGTTATCTTGCGGTATGTCGAGATATGCTTATGCCTCTGTTGATTACTAAATTGAATTTTCTTCGAACCATTAATTAATTAGTGGACAATAATTTATAGTTTATCGACATAATCGTATAGACAAGTATTAGAAAAATATGTCGGAACAAAAGAACATAAATAACTTTTGAACTAATCAAGTATATATTCGTTAGCTTTCTATAATTTTATTTGCGCTCACTATTTTTAAATATTTGAAAACAAGATGTTGCAAAGAAATTTTTTGCAAAATCATTTTGTTTTCAGAAAAAACTTCAATAGTGCTAAGTAAAATGATCATGGAATTTTTCGAATAGAATTATCTCTTACGGTAGAAAAAAATGTGAGTTGAAAATGAATCTATATCATTGTAGAAATTCAGACAAAGTCTTCTCTTATCAAATTATTTACTGGATTCTGTCATATCTAAATATGACATTAAATAAACTTTCCAAACAACCAGAATATTTCCACTACGAACATTAATTTTAGCGAATTTTCCTGTATCATTACTGTAAGACATTCAGAATGTGCTCGGTCTGCTATAATAACTGCTTGACAAAAGCATTAAGAGAACTCGTTAATTCAATCTCTATTCGATGTTTATTTGTCGAATTCAACTGAGAGTTTTTGTTTTACGATTTTAGATGACTCAAATTTAACCATCAGTAAAATAATTTGAGCTTTAATATTTCTAGATAGAGTCATTTAAATTGAAATAAGCTGAATAAAACTTCGATAAGTATGAAATTACAGTGGGGGCCAATTGAATTTCCCCCCTTTGTTTTTTTTGTTTTTTATTACTATACTTCTTTTGTTTATTAACCCACTATATATAGGAAGAAAGTCCGGAACGCGCTGCATCTTTTGGTATATTTATGCTGAACACCAAATGTATTTTTAAGTATAAAAAGTGTATTAGACAAAAAAGTAACATTTTTTTTTACTACAAAGTGTCCATAATTTTATAAGATTTTTTATTTCGCATATATCTCGGGTAAGGTAAATGATAAAATCTTGAATTCTTTTCCAAAAGATGCGTCGTGAAAAGCTCTATAAAAGTTGTATGGTTAAATGCCTTTTTACCTTTTCCAATGGTTTTTCTTATACTTGAAATGAACAACTTACACGACAGGGCCACTTGCCACCATACTGGAAATGTTGGAAGATTTTTTTGTTCTGCATATATCTCGACTTGAGAAAGTGGTATAATATTGATTTTTTCTTTAAAAGATGTGCCGCCGAAAGCTCTACAAAAGTTATATCGACCACATCCTATAGCGAATGAAAAAAGTCCTCGAAACTTTTTCAGTATGATGCGAAGTGACACTCATGTAGGTTGTTCATTTTGAGTATTAGAAAACCATTAGAACAGGAACTCAATCATACAGTTTTTAGAGAGCTTTTCAAGACGCATCTTTTGGAAAAGAATTCAAGGTTTTATCATTTACCTAACCCGAGATACATGCGAAATAAAAATGCCTTATAACATTATGGGCACACAGTCTTGTAGTAAAAAAAATGTTACTTTTTTGTCTAATACACTTTTTACACTTAAAAATGCATTTGGTGTTCAGCATAAATATACCAAAAGATGCAGCGCGTTCCGGGCTTTCTTCCTATATATAGTGGGTTAATAAACAAAAGAAGTATAGTAATAAAAAACAAAAAAAACAAAGGGGGGAAATTCAATTGGCCCCCACTGTATATTCCGAAAAATAGTTTGCAGTTTCATTTAAATTTTCAGGATTTTGATTTTGTTTTGGGTCTTTTTAAAACTTTTCAAAAATCTATTTTTTCGCTCGTTTTAAAATTATTTTCACTCTTTAGGCCTTTTATCCTTTTTTTGATTTGTTGGTAGGCTTTTTTAAATTTAAGTTCCTTTTTAATTTTTCATGACTTTTTTCATCGATATTACTTTTAGAATCTAAAATTTCTTTTTGATCTTTTCCATATTAATTCTGTCATTTTTGAAAACTTTTTAATTTTTATTTGTGCCCATTTTTCCAATATTTTTTGGTTAACTTGTTTAAATTTTTAATTTCTGTTAATTTTTCAGAATTGCTATACTTTTGAAGCATGAAAAGTTTTTTTGTTAATCTTTAATTTTTCTAAAATTTTTGAAAACTTTTTATCGTTGTTTTGTATTTGAATTTTTTTATTTTTCCATTTTTGCGTAGTTTAATATTTTTTATCATTCACAATAATCATGAATAAAAATGAAGACCTAATTAATGTTGATTCTTGTTGCAAGTTCGACGCAGTTACGCTGTGATTAGGGTATATGCATCTCTAATATGCGTAACCACCACTTTTTCATAGCAGGTATGCGCCACTGCGATTCTATCATTGCTGACACGCATAATCACCACTTTTTCATAGTAGGTATGCGCCACTGCGACTTTATCGTCGCTGCTACGCGTAACCACCACTTTTTCATAGCAGGTATGCGCCACTGCGATTTTATCATCGCTGATACGCATAATCACCACTTTTTCATAGTAGGTATGCGCCACTGCGACTTTATCGTCGTTGATACGCGTAGCCACCACTTTTTCATAGCAGGTATGCGCAACTGTGCCGCAGTTTCTTCGTAATCAAATAATTGGAAATGTTTTTTTTCCTCGAAGACAAACGATGATCTATCAAGAAACTCTATCCATTTGAAGTAGCATTACTTCTTTGTTAAGAAAATCAAATGCTTAATTTAAATGCCATACTTATTTTAGTTTTCAAGTCGATTTATTCTTGTCCATGTAACTGCGATGATCTTAATGTTTAATCAATTGCAAGAAAATAACTGGATGGCTATCGTTGGTGAGTTTCAAGATATCGAAGCATAAGGAAAGTCAATAATCTTTTATATATTTTTCTAGATAGATCAACGGATAATGATAAGCGTGTATGTCGATATCCAATTTTATCAACTGATCAAAGTTCAACATCTATGTTCAAAGAGAGACTTTTTTCATCTTGTTCTAACATCTATTTTTGTTCTGTTTGTTGTATTAATAATGTGTCTGATAAAACTATGAAAGAAATTGACATTATCGAAATAATTAATAAGAATAAATAAATAAATTTAGATTGATTACTTGAAGTCAATTTTGAGATTCATATAATTATATATACGTTAAAAAACTTCTCAAACATACATCAAAACATTTGCCGAGCTAATAGAATATTCCCTTTAACTTTATGTTCATATATACATACAGAAAGATTTCGCAGGAGATTGCTTACAGAAAAAGGTTTCCAACACGTGTTACGTTAAAAGTATATCGAAAGCACTGATTTATTTTTTGGAGTTAGATGAGAGAAAATCTTTTATTATATGTTATCTTGTATAAAAGTAGGCGTACATATGTACTAATGCAAGGAAATATGGATGGTCGCTGTTGAGTTTGTCAATGTTACTGATGATTTTCGTTATACATAGTCAACAACTGATACGCTGCGTATTAATTCAACAAAGAATTAATTTAGGATATGTCCGTGTCAATGTCTATTGAAAAGCAAAAATGAGAGAATATTCAATTGATTTTCATAAAGAATTGATTGATGATAATCAAAAAAGCATGTTGTTTAAGATACTCTAACTTTTATTTGTCGGAGGAAAAAGTTTTGAGTATTCCTTTTAATACTAATTACTGCTATGTTGTTCAATATTTTTGACTGACTCGAACATGTCTAATGACGTAAATTTTCGCTGAAATCAACTCAGGATCTTATCATTATCGTCATTATTATTACTGTGATGGTGGTTTTTTTCTAAATGTTGGATACACTGGATGTGCACAGCCTCATTCATGTACACATGTGCACATGCAGTAAACAGAAAGGGAGGGATACGATGAAAAGCTCATATAGCTATCGTATTGAAAGGAACGATAGCTTAATGTAATATCGGCTATAAAATCCATATTTAGATAATTTTGCTGATGACTTGAGCATACCCTATTGAGAAAATGATTGTCTAATAATCAGTTTTTCATATTCTTTCGAATCATGTAACTTTTATCGTGTCTGCATGAAATAAAAAGTTTCGCAGGGGTCGATATCTTGTGAAATAAAAATCATACAACTAATCAAAGCAACAGAATGATTGTGATTTTTTCGAAATAATCAAATTCATAAAATTTTTCTAATGAATATTTTTAAAGCGATCGTTTCAGGGTATTTTTTTTTTAATGACGAAGGTCATATATGAAACTAAAAAAATCTCGTATTTAACGGAAATTTCATGCTTCGTCTGTTCACGTAAACATGTTTTCATGGGTAAAAAACCATGTAATATTGCCACCAATAAATACCAAGCTGAATTGGTAGCAAATTTATAGAACAAACTCGCGCACTACACTGTCACTCAATACGTAAGTACCCTTAACTTTCAACATGATGAGAAATATAACCTTAGAAGACGGGAATCTCAATCATAAGTCACTAACATAGAAGCGAGACCAAGTAACTATTTTACTGTGTATTCTTATTCTAGCATTTTATATTCTTCTTTTTCATTCAGTGTGATATTCATTAAATTTTGTTTCGTTTTTATAAAAAGAGGAAATACTATGCTCTTTAAGTGATAAAATGATCAAAATTTTTCCAAATCTTCTTACATACAGCTCATGGCCAATTGAGATGGCAATTTATGCTTAATATTTTATTTTATTTTATCAAGAAAAATAATAGAATACAGTTTGGTGTAAATGATTGTGGATATGAGCAAAGAAGAAGCATTTACGTGAAAAGCATCATTTGTTTTCTAGTAAAATTTTCATGCAAATTATTTGTAGCTTTTGGTTTCATGTTAAAAATTTACATGAATGACTATGTGATAGGTCTTTTCCTCTTTCTTACACTCGCATAGATTTTTTTAGAGAACAAGTTTTCTTGGTTTTGACTAAAACTGAATATTTTCAGCACTACAGTGCATTTCTACCGTTCCTCTTTAAAACGACGAATTCATCTAAATTTTCATATTTTTTGAGCTTTCAATACATTGCATCATTCACATTGTGATCTTATATTTCTATCCTTTGAATACGAAAAACATACTTCTTGTCTGTTTTGTCGAAAAACCAAATCAATAACTATCGAGTAATTAAGTTTTACTTTATTCTTTTACTAAATAGAATTGAATCTGTAATGGAAAAATAGAATCTCATGAATTCATCGAAAATCAAGACTCTACTCTTCATATATGGCATCGGAAGCATGATTCTGTACTATCTTACATAAGGAACAAATATTAATGACGCAGCTATTAATACAACTTGTAAAGAGTTTCAAAGACAAAGAGAAATACGGGATCAAAAGATCGATTAGTTAGTTCTATATAGTTCTGTTGATTTTCTGTTAGATTATATCAATCAATCACGTATTTAAGACATCAATTTCAGATTGTAAATCTTACTATCGTCTAAATGCAAAATCATAAAAATTTAATTATGTAATGAAACAAAATGTTACTTCTTGAGACCTTGAAAAGGCGTTAGCAAGTTGTTTTCGACAAAATCCCAAGGGTTATTTCGCAGTAAACAGTTTTTAACAGAAATATATGCTTGGAGTTTACTTCAAAATAATATTTGATCGTATTGTCATTGTCAATAGAACAGTTAGATCTTTTATAGAACTCTTGTTTAGTTTCGAAGAAAATAATGAGTGTCAGTTAAAGTCGAGGTCTTGCGACACCTCCATTCTCTCCTCGCTAGACTCTGGAAATCGGTTGGCATGAAATCTAAGATTATTCGATGTTTGCATAGTAATACACAGTGCTGAGTAAGTTCTATAACTCATGAGAACATTCTGAACTTCAAAGTCCAATTGATAAACATGGTTGCTCTTTGGTCTAACTTGTGTTATACTCTTTACATATACTTATTCACTCAACTCCATTTAGAAAAACAAAAAGTAAGGTAGATGTGCTAATTCTTGACATCAGTAACAAAAAGATGTCAAAGTTCTCGAAGACCTAATATTCTTTCACTTGTACACTGAAAAAACATCAAAAGAGCAGATCTAAAGAGCACAAATAAAAAAGACAACCTAACCAAGTAGAAAATAAATTATTCTATTTTGTGTATTCATAGCAGTGTTCCTTGAAAAGAATCATTATTTTATATCTTCATCACTACTTTTCACAGCGCAAAATTTTCAAATACCTGACTATTTAAACGATTATCCAATATAGATTACTTTTTGAAGTATGAGCGAAACGTTTAAACGACAAGGAAAGTGCTGATCGTCGTTGCTTTCAGTTTAACATAATATTTTGTGCATTACAAAATATATATGTGAGCGCATACACGGTATATTGATCGTTTCATTTCTATTTGCGACACGCTCACAACTAGATTCACGCCCAGTTACACAATTAAGGCAGTTGTTATCAAAAGAAAAATTTCTCGTCATAAAGTTACAAGTATGATTAAACTGTGTTAATATATTTGGACTTCTCTGAAAGCGTACTGTTAGAATATTTATAAATATTATTCTTGTATTTGTATAATTATCTTTTAAGCCATCACAGCTCGTTCAAATAAATAGGCAGCACTCAGTGAAAAATATCATACATTGAACTCAACCGAAGAGGAAGACTAATGTACAAGAATATCTTTACCGGACTTTTCATTATTTTTTTGGCTTTTCTGTCCAGCAATGCGCGATTATCAGCGCGAATACATAATGAAAACGACGCTGGTTCGGATACATTAGTGCGTCGTCATAGTTCTGACTTCGATAGAATCTTCAAAACAGTTGGCATGTCCCGTCGACGACATGAAAATTTTCGTGAATTGTTAAGCAAACGTGAAGGCTTCACTGTATCTCAAGTTAGTTTTCAGAACGAAGTCTTAGAAGCACATAATTACTATCGTGATCTTCACTGTGCTCCACCTCTTCAGCTTGATAATAAGCTCAGTCGTTCGGCTCAAACCTTCGCTGAAGAACTTGCTAGTAAGAATCAATTCTATCATAGCAATACCAAAGGTGTCGGTGAGAATCTGTACATGGCATCGGGTTCAAATGTTGATTCATTGACAGGTAAGTTATCTTCAAATCAACAGATATCATCATCATTTAGTTATGCTAACATTGCAGGAGATGCACCAGTGACGGATTGGTACAATGAAATTGAACAATACGATTTTGATTATCCGGGCTTCTCAGGGGCTACGGGTCACTTTACACAAGTCGTGTGGAAAATTTCGAAAAATCTTGGTGTAGGTATTGCTTATACCAGTGAAGGCGATTCTGTCTATGTTGTTGCTCAATATACACCTCCGGGCAACTATCAAGACCAATTTCCAGATAATGTTTTTCCAGAAGGCCAATGCTGAATCGAATATTCTTATAAACTATCTAACCGTAGAGCTTTGACGCTTAATTATTTTTTTAAATCTACTTTTAAAACATTATTTAATCAATAAATCATCATAAATTCATATAATGTGTTGGTACAGATGTGTAATCATCATCATGGCTGTTATTCTGAACGAAGAAAAGGATGACATCGGCACCAGAACCAGAATCGATTTGGTTTAGGAATACATCATTTCCTAAAATTGAGTGAAATCGGAATGAAGATTGATTGAAATTGTTTATTGTTAAATTAACAATTCTTTAAATTCGACTAGTAAACATGCATTTTTAATTTTAGAATAAGGGTGTGGGTGTAAGTATCCCTGTGATTTACATCCACCATCTCACTCGAGGCTTTTCCGAATTTGTCATTATCAACCGATTCTTCATATTATCAGGAGAAATTGTGGAGTATCTATTTTGGCTATTGATAATTCATTGCAAATAATGTATTGAATTAGTTGGTGAGTGTTATATAGAGTAAATTGTAAACGATGTATAGCATTAATTGAATATATTGTTGAGACTCAACTGCAAACAATGTTTAATATCAGTTATAAATACGTGTATTATGGAAGAACAATTGGTAAATAATATCTAGAGGCAGTTGTAAATGATCTATTGAATCAGTGGAAAATATTATTGAGAATCAATTTTTAAAATGACATATATATTATCAGTTGTATTTGATATTTTGAATCAATTGTAAATATTATGGAGAGTCAATTGGTAAGTAATATATATAATCAATTGTGGATAATATTAATATTAACATTGGTTGCACTATAAGAGAATGTTTGAAGAGATCCGATGTCGCCTCTTTTTACCAACTGCGTCGTAGTTGCGTGTAACTACGGCGCATTGATCGCAGTGAAAGTCTCTATCAGAAACTACGGTTACTGCGACGCAGATCAACATAACTGCGTCGCAGTGATCGTATCGTACGATCCGTTGTAACTGTAACTGACCAATTATAAATGATTCCTTCTTATTTGTAGTTGGTCACACTCCAGCACTAAAACTTAGCCACAGAAAGTCAGTATAAAAAGCAGTGTTCATGAGACTTCGGTTCATAACTCATTATACTACAAAAGGTAGAATATATATTCCGAAAATAATTTTTCAATATTTTTTAATTTTTCTAGATTTTAATTTTTTGATTTTTCTGGATAATTATTTTTTATTTTCCCTAATTTTTAAAATTTAAAAATTTTGTCTAACTTTTAATTTTTTAATGATCTTTTGATTTTTAAAGTTTTTGTTTTTCATTTTTATTAAAATGTTTAATTTTGTAGTTTTAAGCTTTTTATTGTTTTGCGCTCAAAAAAGAAAACTTTAACTCACAGTAAAAATTTAAATAAAATGAAAACCTCATATATGCCTTCTCTTGTAGCAATTGCGACGCAGTTTGACTGTAATCGAACACATGGGATATCATAATATGGGAAACATGAGAAGAAGAAAAAGAGAAACACAGTAGCAAATTCAATTGAAGGCATTGGGAAAAATACCTTTGTAAAGTACAGAAAAGGTAGCTTAAGATATCGTATAATACGTTTGGGAGGTACATACACAGTAGTGTAAAACTTGAAACTTGAATTCAATTGAGTTTTCAAGTTTCAACAGTCAGGCTTCAAGGTTCGAGCTTAGGGTTTCGAGTTTCAACTTTCAAGAAAAGACTGACCCATCCTTTCGCTGCACCCACACGCAGGACGATGCGGTCTGCGTGTGTCTCCGTGTGTAAGTCGTTCCGTGGGTCAGTTCTTTCTTGAAAGTTGAAAATTCAATTGAATTGAAGTTTCAAGTTTTACACTACTGGCTTATTCTTACAATAACATTGATTCTGTATATGAAAAGATGGGTGAATATTCGAAAGCACTTTCATCTCACGGAAAATCACTGGGAATTCAACAAAAAATACTTCCTTCAAATCATCCTGATTTGACTCAAACCTACAGCAGTGTCGGTTTCATGTATGGCAAGATGTATCAATACTCAAAAGTACATCAATTTCATCAACAAGCTATTGATATTCGACGACGATCATTACCTACGAATCACCCTCGTCTTCAACAGTGTCTAAAGAACCTCGAATATATACAAAGAAAAATTTAAATGATTTACTTTTAGAAAATCAAGGATAGCTGGAAATTGTGAACAAATCAACTTCAAAGCAAATTTCTTGAGTTGTGGGGAAAAGTAGAATAGTAAGTCGTAAAGACTCGTTAATATAAATGAAGTTTTTGAATAGAAGTCACAGAATGAACAAAAACTTTATTTGAAATCATTGAAAGAAACATGCGAAGTGTGGTCACAGAAATTTTGTCGAGAATATGTGTGGTTATAGATCATTTTTGACTGAGTGCTTCCGCGAATAGTCAACTATGAAAATATATATTCTGTTTTGTACTTACAAACTTTTCGACGTATTGTAGTGTTTCAACGGTAGCATCAATACTTGTTAAAATGTTTTTCTCTGACGCTGATCAGCGTAGAAAGATTCAGAAAATTTATCGTTGACTAGCATGAGACAAGCGTAAATTCTGTATTAAAGTGCATCATGCCACATTTTAAATACTTACCTCAATAAGTTGTGAATTTATGGATAAAATCCTGACACACTCCTCTATATTATCAGAACAAAAAAATAGCTCATGTGTTAGAAATACGATGGAGGTATGTAAATTATTATTTGTTACATGAGTTTTAGAACATCCTGTAAACATATATAATCTGTGTCGATGAGAATTTGTTTAAATTATTGAAAAATGTCATATTTATCTTGAAAAGACATTTGTAAAGCAGTGAAAATGTTTTTAAATATCTCTGCATAAGTCAAAACAATTATTTAATTAGAAATGAAAAGTTCAATTAATATTTGTTAGAAATGAGATGAGCAAATGATTATTCGATTAACCAATAGAAAACAAAAATTTCAAGACATCAAACTAGCTTAATGATTGATTGAAAAATTAATAGAAATCAAGAGGAAATGAAAAGCTTCTCTACATATCACATCTTATATGTTTGCTTTTCTTATTATTTTTGCAAAACCATATATTAGTGTTGATTAGATATTTTTCATAATAATTATGGTCAAGATGATTATGATAAACATATGTATATTCAATTTTAGTCTCATTATCAGGCATAATAGGTCGACAGCACATATTATTAACATACACTGTTCGCGAGTGTTTCCATTACAAAATTTGAATATCATTTTGTGGTGAATCTTGAGATGGTATTTCATAACTTTTTAAGAATATTTTCTTTATTTTGTTGAATAAAATTGTAGATATGAATACGTCGTTATGTAACCGAACACCGACACTCAAACCCACACGTCTCTGATACTTATGTCATTGAACATTACAACAAAAGCAAACAATATGAACACAACATTAATCATTTTATCTTTTCTTAGCTTCGTACGAGAAAGCTAAAATAAATGTAATACAATCCTTTTTTTATTTCATAATTGTGATTATTGGTATGTTAGTTTTTTCTGCACGTATTGAGTTAGTAGTATTGGTTTCTACAGGTAGGACAGACATTTTTGAGCAAGGAAAAATATGCTTAATCGTTTTTCGTAATTCTCGATCGAGAAATATGGTTGCTGCCTTTTCAACAACAACGGTTAACACTACAAAAATGAGAGCTATACGATACAATATGTTGCTTCCAACAATTAAATATAAAAGCGTTGGAAATCCACCAAATATATATATACTAAATAAGATCAAAATATTACGAAGTAGGTCACTATCACGCTTTTGTCGTTGAGATGTCTCTAGTGTTCGTACCGACATACTATTCGTACTACGTTTTGCTCGTCGAAAAAGATAGATATAAAGAACGACAATACATATTGTCGGCAAGAAGTAATAGCTTAGAAATGTATGAGCAACATGAATGGGATATTGTTTTCGCACCCAACAAAGTGAATTCGGAGCATAGTAAATATCTTTAGTAACAATAGCAGGTAATGGCAGGAGTATAGCAATGATCCATTGAGCAGTAATCAGAGTGAGATGTATTTTTAATGAAGTTATCCATCGATAGTTCATAGAGAGTACAACAAAGAAATAACGTGATATTGCTTGAATCAAATAAGAATAAATAACGGCAACAATTGACATATAAGCAAAATAGCCACGCCATCGACATGATATATCACTAGTATCCCAAAGAATAAAATTAAGAAAAGCATAATTATAACATTGCACTACACAATAAAATATTGATGAAACACACGTATTACAAATTAGCAGATAAGTGACAGTATATAAACGTTTGGTAAATGCAACCATGATAATAACTAGACAAGCAATAGACATGGCAATCAATGCTAAAATGATTGAAATCGGGATAATCAAGGAATAATCTGTAAAATTTGAAGATGATGCATTTATGTCTCTTGAAATTAAATACATGACCAAAAATATACTTGCAGATTTAACGAATATAGTTTTAGCAGTTGACAATGATCTAATGATACAAATATCGTAAGACGAAACAAAGCATATCTATATCTAATTTTAATCTATACAAAGCAGATAAACAGGCTGATTATTTTACGTAGTTCAGCTTCTTATGGTATTGAACTAGCATTGAAATAAAAACATATTGAGACAAACCATGAATTAATATATATATATTTTGTTGGAATATGATGAAAATAAAATATTTATTCTATTATGATGTAGCTTGATACTATTATCATCTTTGTTTATGATAAATACTACATCAACCAGAATTTATTTTATTCATTTTTATGCCAAGATAAATTAGAAATGCTTCAATGCAAATATCACATTCAATTTTTTATGTGCTTATTTTTAAAACTCCACCGTCATAAATGCTTTCAATACTCTTTGAACTAATGAAAGTTTTTCCAAAACAAGACAAAAAGTATTTCTTTAGCCAAAAAGTAGGATTTTGTAAAAAAAAACACTTCGACAAATTTTAAGATATTGAGTTCGGAGTAGTTTTATTCAAGAGAGAGCTGAGAGATTTGCAAAAAAAGACCAAAGCACTAAAAATTACTAAAATTTCAGAATTCACAATAGTAATAAATCGGTCGATGCGATTTTTTTTGCGCTTTTGAATAAGATCACTCAGCATTCTAGCCCAAAACCTTTTCACTAAGAAAATCAAATTCTTTTCTTTTTTTGAAGTAGTTTAGAAAAAATCTCAACATCGATTTGTCCTAGATTATCAACTATAGCAAACCGTATGAATATATGTCCTAACATGTGCGACGTACTTTTTCCTATATATTAACATTCTGCACAAGGAGTATAACAAGAAACAATAATGATAAAGACATTTTTTTTAAATTTTCTTCCAATTTACTTAGATTTTTCAAATATATTGAAAATCCTTTATATGTAAAGAAGTTCATTGATTTAGTCTAGTACCATAGTGAGGGTACCCGCTGTAAATGCAATCATTTTATCACATGATGAATTCGTTTGAAACAGAAATTGATTCCAGTTCGATTCGGTGAGAAGTCCAGCATTTTATAAGAAGCATATTCTAAGAAATGTGAATCTTCAGAAAATTAAGTTCTGAAAGTATCTCTAAAAGAATTTTAACTACACAAAGAGTATTACTGATCTTTCAGTTTTAGAAAGGTTTCTAGTTTTTAATAAAAGTATCAAATTTTTGTTCTGACTCAAGTACATTTCTGTCTTTGGATTATAGAATGTAAACCGGAAATCGACATTTTTCAGTTCTTTAATGACAATGAAAAGAAGGGAATATGACTATTTATGTAATATGTTTATCCATTCCAAGATTTAATCTAAGTTTACACAGGCAGATTAAATTTTCTTAAACTCATTCTGAAATATAAAATCATTTGATTATCTACTTAATATTCGAATATCGAATTTCATTTCATACCAACTTAATGATCGATTTATTCAAAGAATTCAGAAAAATTCTAATCATTTGAAATGAACTAGATGCAAAATATATCCTGACTCTTGAACACTAGTGAAACGTTGGATTAAAGGTAAAAAACACTAAAAGATGCTAAGAATGAAACCAATCTCTAAAATAATGGTCTATTCGTTATGAATCATGACGGATCATTATTCGTTTATACTAAACAGTAAAATTTAAAAAATGATAGTGTTTTTTTCCTCAAGTATTCTCCATACTTGCTGTTTTCAAAAAATCGATGAATAATTCTCATCGAACGAAGACTTTCCTTTCAAGATTGATGAATTGAAGTTGACATTTGTAAAACAAACGATATATTATACTTGAAATAAATCTTTTCTGTCATGTGCGCAATTTATGTGTACGATTTTGTTAAGGAAAGTTTAAGTATTATATTTGTCTTGCTCCACTTGCTTGAATAAACTAAATCAAATTGAAATGATATTTTTTCCATCTAATAATTTTCGTCGTTTTCTACCTGAATAAGATTAATATGTTTGTGTCAAGTAATCAGTCGTTTCTAATGCTACAAACGTATATAGAAGATCAGCTTGTGAAATGGATTGTTCATCTTTGAGAATGTGTACTGATCTAGCTTATTTTATTTTCTGTTTCAATCGCAGAAACTCATTCAGCAATCTTATTTGCCTTAATTCTACAATTCTGTTAATATCAATACTATTTATTTTAAAAACTTACTGTGTACAGTCAATTAAATACGACAGAAAACAAAATATATTCTTCATAATAATATCGAGTAGTTCAAAGGCAACTGTATCCATAAAATAATACACAAGCTTAAGTGCAGCTTAAAAAAACTCGCATAAATGAATGAATCGATTTATTAATTCCGAGATTTTAACGCATTCGTATAATTTGACGAAAAAGAAAAATAATGAACTTGGCAATGAAGTATGATTCCGTCTAAATTGCACGTATCTCTATATATAAGAACACTGCCATTGCGATAGGTACTCTTTTTACTTCCTACTAGTTCATATTTAAAGATTTACTTCAAATAAGTTCTATGAATACTTTTGTTGGATGTGGATATTGGTGTCGATATTCTCCCTAAAGATCTGTACTCACATCCTTCTTTTTTTTCACGCAACAGGAAGAAGTTTTACGATCTCTGATAACACAAAAGATCATATACTTATATTCTGATATACTTGGTTTTTCTCTTCTGTTTCTTGTTTCCGTACTTATTATATACATCTGTTTAAACTTATTGATATTCCATTCTAATAACTTAAGAAACAATCAAATTAGAAAAAGGTAGAGTAACTTTTGATCAATATTAGGTGACAAAAACCAAAATCCATTTCATTTTAATCGAGAGAAACAAGTTTATTTTTATGGTAAAGTTGTTGTCTGCAATTTCAGACACACATAGTGTCACATAATGTCAAATTTACTGACTTTTGGTGTAGCTTCTGTTAGTCTAGAGATCATTTGATGGATTTCTAATCATTTATTGCCGCATATGAGATTTTTTAAATATTTTCCTTAACACAATTTGTAACTGTCTGTTGTGAAAAGAAGGTGACGTTCAATTCAGAAATCCTAGTAGAAATACTTCTGGACTATATACAACTAAGAACTTATTTCTGTTCATCTTTTCACATAACATTTTTCATTTTGAAGTCTTTCTTTTTTGAATAATTGAGAGAGTTATCTCTCACAATGTTGAACCTCGATTTAAATTTATATGGAGCAATAAACAAAACAGCGTATTGTCTGCAATAGAATATACTTGAAAAATACGAATAAATAGAATGCTTAACTGTTTCTTTTTGATAAAAATTCAATCTTAATTAAAGCTTTTTTCTGATTGCATAGAAATTCGAATCCTAGCCGTATGTAATCAGTTGATTTTCATCAATTCTCACAATACGAGATTAAATAGCTGTTCAATAGTACGATAAATATAAAATCTTCAAGAATTGTTCGTTACTTTTAACGTAACCCATTTAAAAGCACATTCACTGGCAATAATACAATTCGTTCGACGTCTAATGCAATCACTGTAAAGAAAAGTAAAAAAATAGCACATGTAATTGCACAATTTCCAAGTGAACTCAAATGAAAATGTACATTTCTATAGAACAAAATAGAGAAAGCTATAATGTCTCGATTACTTCGCTTTGTAAATCAATGGTAGATTGTTTTTCCGCAAAAGAAACGTTGCGGGTTCGATCCCCGCCGAAGCAACCACCCAAATCGAACAAGCAATCTTTCTCTTTTGTTTTTATTAAGGATACAAAATATCCACCATATTTGACACAAAAATAATCAAAGCAAGTCTTTTGTTTGCCGTTCCATATGGTGATGAAAAAGAAGATAGAGAATATCCGACAAAAAAAAACAAGTCATAAATAATTCAGTAGACGCTTTTCAAAATTGATTCAAATGTGTACTTTTCTCTTTGTAATGTTATTTTTAATATGTTTTCCAAACATTCCTTCGTATGACAACAGATAATTTATAAGTATTATCGAAATCTTTTATAATATATTTACCTGTTTCAGGGTGTGGGTGTGGATGTGCATGAAGATAAGACAACCAGGCCGAGACCCACACCCACATCTCACTCACACCCTTCCTGTAACTGACGCTTTAAATAATCATTTGTGTCAATTCCATTATAGCCATTATGTGATAACACAAAAAATGTTCAAAGTCTAGTTGAGTTATTTCATACTCTCTCATTACTCACAAGTAGAAAGTAACACAATAAAAAAGTAAGGTATACAGTATAATTTTTCAAGAAGTGTCACTTCTTTATCTTTGTAGATCTAAGGCGTTATGCTTGTTTACCGTTTTCGAATTCTCTTTCAATGTTTTTTTTTTCGCAAAGTTAATATTTTTTCCCATGTTTTGTCTTTTATACATTTTTTTAACTATGTATTTATTTTCATGAAATAAAATAACAAAAATTTTCAAGCGTTGTTTAAATACTTGTTGAAAGCTCTGTATACTGAAAATATGTTAAGCATGTCTGTGTAACTCTATAAGCTGCAAAATGCACTGTTTATGAGATTACCAAGTGCATAAATACACGCTATGCACTCACCAAAAAAATTGAGCTTTTTTTCATGTTCTTCTATTTAACGCTTTTTTTACCCACGCGTTTTATCTGCATGCTTCTTGTTCTTCTCTTTTTATTTAACGCTTTGTTTTTCACCGTGGAAATATTATTACATAATTTATAGTAATTAATTCCTTGTTTAGCCCATTGTTTATAAAAATATGATGTTAATTTTTGTTGAAAATTTTGATAATTTTTATTTTTTAAACTAGTCCAACCAACTTCAGCATAGGCAGCGACTCGTGGAAATATTTGTTGATTCATTTTATCAACTGTTGGTATTCATTCACCCCACATTTGACAACCTAAACCTAATATTTTTGAATGATATTCTTCTAGTAACTCGTCAGGAATTGGATCAAAATTATAAGCTTTTTCTAATGAAATTCGATTGTAATTATAATCCAAGTAAGTATATTTATTGTTAGAATTAACAACATCATAACCATGGGAAATTGCTTTATTCAACAAATCGAGACTACCTTTCCAAAAGTGAACAACTGTATTTTGAGCTAATTTTTCTTTTGTTAAAATATCTAATTCAGTTGTATAATGATGTAATTTACTACCACCCATTATTTCATTCCAACCCATCATACGACGATGTTTTCCATTTATAAAATTTGATATTTTATTAGTAAACCATATTTGTAAATCGGCTGGTGATTGTAAATTATGTTCGTTAATAAATGTTGTGATTTCTGTTGATGATTTCCATTGATCATATTTGACTTCATCACCACCAATATGAATAACATCTGATGTTGAAAATAAATCAATAACTTCTTCTAATACATTTTCAAGAAATTCTATTGTTTGCGGATTAACTACATTAAACACCGAATAATGAACACCAAACTTACCTACATAAAAATTAAATGAGAAAAAAATATAGAATTCGTTGAATAAATAGAAAAATAAGTTTTTTCTGGTAAATCAAACTTTAAAAATGTCTCCGTCAGATAAACCTGAGTTCACATTTTCTTTATGAAATATCAAAAATTCATGTGCATCTAATTTTTGTTGTAAAATGGAACTAGAAATTAGATAAATTTTGTGACGAAATTTATCATCCATCATTTTCATTTTAATGGCAATTGAGTTTAGTTCAAATCTACAACCACTTATCCATAAACCGTAGCGAAGTGTATAGATATAATGACTTTAGAAATATGAGATGAGACATTTGATCAAAATGTTTTGCTATGTTTTCCTTTTTTTATGTTTTGACCAAACAAATTCCTCATTTGATTTTATTTCTGAACTCTTTATATCTCTGTACACTTTAAATGTTCGTGTGTAGACACTACTAGACTTGAACTATATATATTATTAAAATCAAAATGATTAGTGATCAATTTAGAGAGAAAAATTTATTTTACTTTTTAAGACTATATTATTAATTAGTGATTTTTGCATGTTTCAGTTTTACAACAAAAGTCTCTAGCATTATATTTCTTGTCATATTTTTTGAAGTCAATATGGAATAATATTGAAAAAGCGTGAATATAGTCTTTATGGGCACTTGCACTTGTTTCTATGTACAACGTTTCATGAAAATATTAGGAACTATAAGAATATTAAAATTCATAGATTTTTAATTCCATTCTATGTCACTTTCAGACCATCTCAGACATCCATAACCCTGCCATCACTATGAATACTTCGGAACGATTATAAAGACTCAGATTCTATTCTAGAAAGCGGTAACGAAAGAAAGAAGAATGAGAAAAGACAAAGAAAAACCAACGGTTAACGACTCTCAGCAACCGAGACATAGCAAACATACCAGAGTACGGAGGATCGTCCTATCAAAACAATTTTTCGTTTTTTCGAAAAAGTTCTGTGTTTGAAGAATGAGAGACAGACGATGACTTTTCTGAAGTCAAGGAGGGATCACTCACAACCACCCCGTAGCTACACCTTATTTCGACAAGTCATTGATGTTCATATGTCTCAGTCACCATTAATTCTATAGTTTGTCTTCCGTATCCTGACATACAATGAAGCTGTATGCGCCGAATATGTACTTAGGATTAGATGTGGGAATAGCGATCCTAGTCGACTCTCCCACTTAGAGCCCCTGAAAAATGCGAAATCTCCCTGGAGTCCCCGGGGACTCCCTGAAGAGTTCCCGTATAGGGACTCCCTGGGCAGTTATTTTTCTGTTGACTTTTTTCCACAAAGTGCATAAACATTTTAAATTTATACTAAACTACATCTGGTCAGATGGAGCTAAATAATTGGTTCTAGAAACGGCCGACTGGTACAACGAAAAAAGAGGAGTCAAAGAAAAAATAGTCCACGTTTTTTGTTCTAAGCTAGAAAAGCATACAAAAATTAAACTTTCTTCGAAAGACGAAGTATGTACGAATTATCAATCAAATTTTACTATTTAAAAGCACTATTCTTTTTTCTATAAGATGAACATCCATTTGGTTATTTATTTTTCTTTATAAGCTGGTTTTTACCAAAGCTGGCAAAAAGTAACCTGATGTGAGTTCATTACCTATTTCAGTGATGTTGTCACTGGAATTTTGTTTCCAAGAATCTCAGATGATATGTGACAGATAGATCGGTAGGTAAATGAATAGCTCTATTCATCTGCCTACCTATGTATCTATCTATCCATCTACTTATCTGTCTATCTACCTACCTACCTATCAAATGTCATGTATGACATTTTTGATTAAGAAGCCACTCCCTTGACAATTCGTGGGAACTCGCTCGCAAATCCCCAAGAACTCTCTGTCGAGAATCCTCGGGGATTCACTAAGGGAGAGACGACTGGGGGAACAATCGAGCAAGACGAGCCTTGAATCAGACTGCCCTCATACTGATCAGAGTTGCAGCTTCGTCGATGATCAGTAACGGGATGGATGATCATTTGTGAAGATTATTTGGTTCAAGAAAGATATGAGTTTTCGAGAAAGACATATATAGGCGCATTTTTACCGTATACTGAAAAGAGGTAGAATGAATATCCTTCTTCTTCTTCTTCACAAATTACTTTTCGATCCCTCTAAAAATAACTGAGAAAATATGATTCTGCTAATTTTGAAAATTTCACTACTGCAGCGAATCGTGTTCTATAATAATTCAGAAGAATTGTACGCCCTAGGTGACTTCTTACAAAAATGTCAAAGTTTAAGGACATGTTAAAAGAAGTCTCCCTTGAATATTGCTATCTACTTCAGACAGGAAATTAAATTTCTAAATACTTAGAATTTGTTCTTTACATTAGGATTTAACTTACCTGGTACATTAATTTGTTGTTGTGGATTACATCCAAGACTTGGATATAATGCAATAGCAGCACTCGCATGCCCAGGCATTTCTATTTCTGGTACAATTTGTATATGTCTTTCATTTGCATATTGAATTATTTCTTTAATTTCTTCTTGTGTATAATAACCTTCATGTATTGTATAATCATATTTCTTACTTCTCCATGCACCACTTTGTGTACATGAACGTATTGAACCAATTTCAGTTAATTTTGGATATTTTTTTATCTCTATTCGCCATCCTTGATCATCTGTTAAATGCCAATGAAATCGATTCATTTTTAATTGAGACATTTCATTGAGAAGTTGTTTGATAGTTGAAGTATTTTTAAAATGTCTTGCTACATCTAACATAAATGATCGCCATTGAAAACGTGGTCGATCTTCAATATGAACACATGGAATTGTTAGTTTCTCTTTATTATTAATTAATTGTCTTAATGTTTGTAAACCATAGATAATACCAGTTGTTGACCAACCAATAATTTCAATTTTATGAACATCAACATGCAAATGATAGCTTTCATCCTTGACTCGATTATCATTTAAAATCAGTTTAATAACTGACATAGAATCAGTTTTGTCAGAAAATTCAAAATCAAAATCTTCTTTTAAACTATTTTGAAATAATGTCAATTCATTTTCACAACCAGCAGTAGCAACAATAATAGTATCGTTAGATAATATAAATATCCCTGGTGATTCTTGAATCGTTAATGGTTGTGGTATTACATTTATTCGATTGTTTAAGAATGTCTCTTCCATCCTACAAACATACAAAATATACTGTAGCTAGTTACTGATTTAATTTGACCTCACAACTGCATTTATCGAAATATTTCGTGCTTATGTATGCCATAATATACAGTTACTTTTTATTTTGTTAAATTGTGCAATAAATAAGTAGTAGTAGAATGACTAATATGAAAAAGAAAGAAAAAGAAAAACATTTTTATCTTTCAGGCAAATAAAAAATAATAAGAGTCACCTTTACTGACAAAACCATTCACCGTAGAAATATAAGGCTTAATACTGTTTTTTTATTATATGCAAGGGGGAACAAACTGATTTCGTGATTTCGTGATTTCAAGTGATTTCGAGTGATTTCATATGATTTCAAGTGATTTCAGGCGATTTCAGGCGATTTCAAGTGATTTCAGGTGATTTCAAGTGATTTCAAGTGATTTCAAGTGATTTCAGGTGATTTCTAGTAGCAACCAAAACAGTCATCTTTCGTTGTGTCATTGAAAAATGCATTGCTTATCTATCAATATTAATGTAATTAGACTAATATTATAAGAGTATACGAATTTTACTGAAGAAAATCGTGATAAAGCAAAGCAGGTCGACGACCTACGGTTCCCAGATACTGCAAGTGTTCGTCGAAGACGACCTCTTTTCCTGNTCACATACAATAACTGTACCACATTGTATATCACATTTGGCAAACATACCAAAACCTTTACCATCGATAGGTTTAATGACGAATAAATCTGACTGTGGATCATCGATAACACGTTCGATAGAATTATTCATCTTGATCTAGAATGAAATGAAAAATGTAGATACAGTGAAAAATTGGTTCAAACACGTTCATGGTTATTCTTAAGAGGAGGGGAGTCCGCGGGTACGCACCGACTGTACGAGTCGACCGCTCGAAATTAATTATTTGCTTAAATTTTCAGCCTAGATAGCTCTGATATATTTAAGAGAGCCTTCGCCAGAAAACTACCCTTTTTGAGAATCCAAAAATTTTTTATTTTGGAAATGTTTCCTTCAAAAGGGTGTAGGTGTGCCCGAGCAGACAACCAAACGACAAAAACGACGTTTAAACATCTCAATATCTCAACTGTTTAAAGTGTCATTAGTCGCCAAAAACACGTTAAAACAGTTTATAAAAAATTGACTTTTAACACGTTTTACATGTTTAAACGCTTGGAATCGTTGAAATTTTAACTGTTTAAACAGTTGAAATAATTTCCGTTATAAAGTCTCTGAATGATCAACAAACGTTTCATTTAAACGACGAAGTGCCACCAATTTATAACTAAATTCTCTTCCCACTGAGAAACTCACCGATTATATTCAAATTATCATTAGATTAATGTTAAATTAACATATGTTTATTCTTTGAAAACAGTGCAGAGAATTTCTCTCTCATCAGTTCGTTTCCTTTTATATTAAGACTAAGTTTACAGTTTACTATTTACTTATTTGCATATTTTCCTTTTTCTTTTTGTTTCTTCTAATAGTGAAATGGAATAACAAGACTTTCATGCTGTTCTATTAAATCTACATATTTTTATCTTCCGTTCCATTATTGAAAAAAAAACAAAAAGAAAAAGGAAAATGTGCAAATAAGTAAATAGTAAACTTAGTTTTAATATAAAAGGAAACGAACTGATGAGAGAGAAATTCTCCGCACTGTTTTCAAAGTATACACATATGTTAATTGAACATTAATCTAATGGTAATTTGAATATAATCAGTCAGTTTCTCAACGAGAAGAAAATTTAATTATTTACGCTGATGTTTCATATTTCAAATAAGTGGCGGATAAGATAGACTGATGAATAGATTTAAAATACTACAGTTAACATAAGAATTGATGTAAAAAAAAAAAAGGCAACGACGATTTATCTAACAAGCTTCTAATATGTAGAAAACTACCTACGACTGGAACTACTATGTTAGATAAACGTTCTTTTCGATTTTTATTAACAAATTCAACTTTATTTGGATCATATTCCAAAGTATCGAAGTTTACAGATATGCGATAACTAGAAGCGACATTGATGCGCTACGAAGTCTCTTAATTGTAGTATTTTCTAAGTCAATTCCGAAATTGACTAAGCTACACTTATGCACAAGGACAACTATCTGTTTCTCTCTAGAATATTTCTTTTAAAGCTCGTTCATCTTTTGATGACTTGAGATTTCTTTTTCATTGAGTAGAAAACCAAACTGTTTGAAATGTCTCTTTTGACACGCGTATTTTTGTTGAATATTCTCTATCAAACATTCTGATTGAAGAATACTTAATGGAATACTGCTATGTTGATCGTTGACGAGCGATTCTTATAGTTGTATTGTTATCTGTGTTGTACATATTATGTCTACGTCCACACCAACCTAGTGAATATCAAACTATTTTATACAGAAACTCGCGATTAATAGCAATGTAATATGTGCCCTATTCTTTATTTCATTTTGAATGATTCTCCACAAAAAAAGAATATATCTCAATCGATCATCTCGATTGTTACACATAAAAAGCATATGCATCGCATATTGTGAATCCAACATAAATTTTCAGTATAAGTTAGAAGTTAAGTGACCTGTTTAGTTAAGCAACTACTCTGTGAACGAAACAGAACACAAATAAATTCAAAATGAAAAGAACAGACGAATAATCGGACAAGAGAATGATAAAGAAATAACCTTCTTTTTCCTTTCTCCGTGGACTAAACAGACGGAAAGAAAAGACAGGACGAAAAAAAATTCTTTTAAATGAGAACGGATGATGAACTCTGTTTCTATGTGATCATGAAAAGTAGATAAAATATAAAATAGTTAATTTTTGAAACTTTTATTGAAAACTCTAACTCATTTTACAATTATAAGCTATACGAGAACGGGATAACTTGTTTATCTTGGTTGAACATGCTTGTTATTCATACATATACTTGCACCTTTGAACGAGAAATAGAAAACATTATGGTTATCATATAATCCAAGAAAGAAGGAATCGCTTATGTAGTTAGTATGATATACAGTACTGATCAAAAATATAAGAACGGACACTCTGGTACCTTTCAATTCTCATTTTTATCTTCCCATCTATTTCTTCAACTGATCTGTCTATCCACACATATGCATCTAGTTGTGCTCTGTCTAAATATGAACTCAGAATTTTCTGAAAGCTTCTTGTTACCAGAAAAAGCCAGCTTGTCTAAAAATGATAGTTTTTTCGTGCTCGAAATTATATTCGACAACATTTTTTCTGCGATTCGTTCTACGCTCTTCAGAGATAGAATTTTCTTCATAGTATACCATTCGAAAGAGAAAACTGTGCTTTTGTTCCTAGTTTTTGTTTGAGAAAGGGCTAAAATCCAGTGATTACCAGGACAGACCAAAAATTTTCGAAAACTGCGTTTTCAACTTCTAAACTGCAGTCAATTCTGGGTGTGTATGTGGCTATTGAGTTCATTTACACCCACACGCACATCCCGCCCGCCATCAGACACCCACACTCACATTTTCATTTGTAACAATATGTTCGTCAATGTCTATTTTTAACCATTATTCTCTATCAATTCCATTTCTGTTTCAATACTTTAATTTTATGTGAATCAATCTACCTTTAATTATGTTTTATTTACATAACAAATTAATAATAATCACTTTATTTCTGCATGAGGAAAATAGTCTTTTATATGTTTAGAAAAATGTATTTTTGGACGAAAAAATTCGTGTAAAGATCCACGATATTCTAGTTTTCTAAATAAATATACGTAATTCATTTTCGCACAATTACTTCGTGTTGTATTTCTTCGAAAATTGCGTGTCACTTTTCTCACTATTTCATAATTCATATAAACACGAATATGAAATGGTAAGCACATTTTGGTATCGAATAAGAATTATTCATGATAATCTATGCAAGTATCAAGATGTTTAAGATACGGTTAATGAATGATCGATAAATCTCCGTTTTCATTGTTTGCTTTTCTAAATTGTTTATTAATTTGTCGTTGTTGATTAACTACAATTAATTGTTTCATCAATGGAAATGATTTTTGAATTTGAAGAAAAAATTCATGTTCAAAAGGACGTTCATCAAATAATGACACTTTACGAATACATTGAAATATTCCACCTGGAAAATTATTTGTTATACCATTGTAATGATTTAGTCTATAATGATATGAATAAATAAGGCAACGAGCTTCTTTTTCTTTTGGAAAATAAACAACATAATGAATAATTTGTTTATCTTTAAAGTCTCTGAATGTCTCTTGCATATATTCATTTGATGGTAAATTAACTTCATTATAAAAATGACTTGATGATCGGATATTAAAGGTCAATTTGTTTAATTTCGACATATGATTAATAATATTTATTTTCAAATCGTTACCATCAACAATAAGACACAAATCAAGTTTTTTTTTAAATTCACCATTCGATGTAAAAGTGTTAAAATTAATTCATCATAAACACATGTTGCCATATCACAGTGTAGCGAAAAGCATTTTAGAATAGATAGTTTTTCCTAGAGAAAAATAATATTATTCTTTCATTTAAATAAATGATATATTAATCAAAAATAATCTACCTTATTATTGATTGACAAATTCGAAGAAAGAATGACGGAAATATTAACATAAAATGTATGAAGTTGATTGAAATGACCATTAAGTAAATAAAGACAATCAGTAAAGGCATCCAAATAGACATGTAATTTTAACAAATTTGTAGAAATAATAATTAGAGGTGTAGTATCAAATGATAATCGTTGATGATTCAATAAAGATGGACAAAAATTTAAATATTGTAAATTAGTGAACAGAGTAAAGATATGTGTAAATATAATTGCATTATCATTTGTTGGGAATCTTTGTATTTCATTGGTACTAATGTTAATAACAAGTGTTGAAATTTGGTTTTTCAAAGTACAAATTACCGAAGTTTGATCTAAACAATGAAAAGATTAAAAAATCACTAAGAAAAATATTTTATTAGATTTTACGTGATTGCTTAACCGTAAGTATATATGCTTTATATATTTATTTTTACTAATGCTATAATTTACATATTTGATTTTCTTCTTTGGACTTACTTAATTGATTATCTTGTATCATAGTCATTAATCTTTATCATCAAGATTATTCTACATTTTCTTTTTCAAAGTCTCCTATAAATTTGAATCGGATATAATATCTAAGCTTTCTATTTTTAGATAAATTCTTATCTTTCATGGAAAATGATATCTTCGATAACAAACTTCTTCTCATCATATTGACAAATCAATACAAAATTACCTGCAACTTATTAATGAAATTTTTTTGAGTTATAGTTTTAATATCTATCGTTAAAAGAATTAAAGTAAAATGTCTTACCAATAAAAAGACCTATAGCTGTTTCTGTTTGAATATTATACAAACTAATTCCATATAAATTAGGATAAGGTGTTACAAGAAGAATACGTTTCATTGATCGTAATTCAAGATCAAGCCATTGGATTTTGTGATGAATTTCAGGTAAAATATGTAAACAAAACCATCTGATGTAGACATCAGAAGGGTTAGATGATTTGTAAAAACAGAATCATTTGCTATTCTATTGAATTGTTTACTGATACTTGCTAAAGAATAAAGTACTTTCGTAGTAACCAATTTTTTAAAAATAATTATTAGAATTTCATCCGGTAAATCATATATTGAACACATGAATATTCCATGTTTATCTACACCTTTATCTATTTTGCTTATGTTATAAAATGTCAGTATTTATAGGGTGTGGGTGTTGATGTCTTCTCTCGCTCAAGACTCACACCCATACACCCACACCCACCCTCGCCCTTGTTCGATTTCATAATTATTTAAAATTCGAGCATTATGTAATGGTTTAATAAATTGATTAGTAACAATTAATAAATTATTATCATAACATCGTTCAGTTTCGATTAATTCTCCAATAGGCAGATATTCTCAATGGATTACTTGGTAAATTTTGTGATGATGAATCACTATCATTTGATATTGGTTTTGTCGTCAAATCATTAATAACTAGATGTTGAGATGAATTAGCTGTAGTAGGTATAGATGGAAGAAGACGAGCGTGTGTAGATGAAGCTGAAAAAAAATATTAAATATTAAAATCTTGTTCTTTTTTCTTTCTTTGTTGAGCAGAAGAAGGGAGAGAGACGCCATTTTTAAGAAAATAATTAGCCATGCTAATCAACATGCACTAAAATTTTGTCAGATTTTTGACAAGACAAAAAAGGAAAACTGAGAATAGTAAACAATCGCACGCGCATTTAGTAGTCGTTGAATAGCTATTTTTTTTCTTTCATGGGTGCAGTCATTATCATGATCATTGTAATTGTTATTTAGTTCTTGTCGTTATTTTGTATTGTTTTTGGACGGTAATTCTAAACTTACGATAAGATATAATAAAAGATGTTTTCTTTTTATAATGTGCATGGCGTTTGTATTTGGCTGATGCTCTAGCTGATGTTAGTATTGTAAAGCAACAGCAAGTAGTAGTGAATACTTTCTTTAACATTTTCTTCTTTCTGTTCATACAATATGCAAATCAAAAGAATAGTTTTTTTTTGTTGTTGTTAATTTTCAACCAAGCATACATCGATATGTATATGTATAATTATATTTCATAATTATTTTTGCATATATGAGATAACGATACAGAAAAAGGTGGAGAGACACACAGTTATAAAAACTATTTCATAAGTATGTAATCGAATCAATGATATCATGAACAAACCATCGACAGGGAATCAGCCGATTTCAAGTTCCGAAGTTTCTGTCGTTTATCTCCCCTGTATGATACATTATTCATGAAATTACTAGAGGGAGTTTGGTTAGACACTCTACTTTGTTTTCGTTACATGTACTAGAACAACGAATTCTTAGATATTTTAACAGTAAAAAATATTTTAAGAATGATATTGAAAAATTTTCTGACGGTTTCAATAGATCAAGCTTATAATGTTTTCGAGAAGGAAGTTTTTTTCTTACTCTAGAATAACCAAACATTACTGACTCGAACTAGTTTTCTCCAGAACTTCTGACTTAAAAGTTATGAGCCGACGTTTTAGAGAGAGGCGAAAATTAAGTTTGAATATAGAAAATTGATTTTCTTCTTACATACGAATAAAGATCAGATAGGAATATAAGAATCAAAAGTTTTAGAACAATCGTTCAAAAATTGTCAAAGCTTACTTTGCAAGTCTCTTTTTCATAGAAACTTGTCTAAATTAAAACATTATTTCTTATCATCATTAGTAAACTAACCGCCATGTGCATACACGTTATAAACTTTTGTTTAAATAGCTTATCGCAGAAAAGAATTGAGCACATAGATACATACATAGATTGATAAGAATGGAATAAGAAAAATAACTGTCACTTATATAAAACAAACGCAGAAAAAAGTAGAAGAAAATAAGTGGTATAGTACGAATGTATATGGATTCTTTTTTATAAAATACTCGCATATATATTCAATCAAAGATGATGACGATTAAAAACATAATATTATGGGGGGATTGCCGGAGTGGCAATATGTTCGTTTCTCGAGAATCAGTATCATGTTCGAGCCTTCCCCCCCTATGGCACCAAGTTTTAAATAATTTTGTTCTGTTCTACACGTCTCAAAACTATTTGTTCGTCGATGGTCTATACATTCTGCTCGCATACCAAAATGGTTCGAATTTGCAAACCATCGCACCTGACTCATGTTATCTTTATTCATAGTTTTATATGTTTTATGTTTGTGCTTTGCTTTAATTGCTTTTCATTTTTGATAAGTTATTTGTTATTAGCACAATGTCTCTTTAGACCCTATCATGGGTAGAGGGTTAAATAAAAAAACCGCATATAATCAAAAACATAATATTATATAAAAAGCAATAGGGTTATAGAGAATTTTAAATAAATAATAATCGTCTATGCTCGCTTATACATAGATATATATGTATGCATTTGGACAACATCATTATCATCGTCCTGCTTTTGCACACGCTCGCCTATCATGTTTTGGAATGACGATTTTCATTGTCCTAGAATATGGCCAAAAATGAATTAACTAAACAAAAATAAAAAAAACTTTTGCTTCGTTTTGTTTTTTATTTTATTTTATTTTATCGGTGATTCTTCTTTGGTTAGTCTATCTAAGAAAAGTTAAAAAAATCCACATACATCGCTTTCTGCGCATCCTTAATCTCTGTATATGTCAATTTACTATGAAAATTATGTTTATTTTATTTTGTTTATAATTATTAGTGACCTAAGCAGACTATTATTATTATGATCATTTAATGTCAACTTGCATGTTGTATGTTCTTCGATTGGTTTAACATACGTCGATGGAATCGAACCAATTTTATTAACATATCGAGCTTTAAACTAACCGTATGATCTGCTTGTTCTAATATTTCCAGAATTGTATCAACTGGAAAACTTAATTTATCATCTTGTTGAGTATTACATGCAAAAAGAGCACTATATAATGGTAATTCAAAATAGGAAATTTTTTGTTATATTATTTATTAGTATTTTAGTTTAAAAAAAACTTCGAATCGAGACAAAACTAAATAGTATATTATATAGAGAATTCTTGAAGCTATAATGTCTCCATAGAAAAAATTTTTTCTAAGTATATCTAGATTTTCAAAAAAGAATTGATTTTCTTTTGTTATAGATGCAATGAAGGATGAAAAATGCATCTTACAACTGAATGGGAAGTTCAAAAACTAAATCCTAACATTTTACTTATGTATATGCTAAAAGTGTTTATTAAGAAAAACAATCAAAGTCAAATGAAAGATTGACATGATCTGTTATTTTTTCAAATGGCTTCTATATTGAGTCTCATATCGTGCGCTTTCAAAATAGAATATAGTCAAGTTAAAAACAGGTATTGTGGTTATCATCTTTGAAGAAAATCCTATCAGTTCAAACTCTCCTAGGATTTAAATAATGAAGAATCGTTTTCAAATAATTAGTGACTTTTGTATTCGAATTTTCTACATAAGGTAGAGAGTTTAGCCTCTCACATCGTCTTTACCAACAACCCAAATGATGATGATGTTTCGACTTGAAATATTTTCCATAGACTGATCTATTTGTCAATAGAATACCCTAAAAGTATCTCTTTAACAAATGATTCCTTTCTTGGACATTAAAGTCTCAAAACAGAATTTTGAGAGCTGAAATTTTTTAGAATATTCTACTCACAAATGGATCTATTCGTAGAAAAAATTTCAAATAAAAATATTGTTATTCTATTTGTTGATGTATACTAAGTTAAAGGCTTAAATTTTACTGAAATGCCTATAACTCTGGTCAGAAGGCCTTAATTT